GGGGGGCATATTTGGGAGCCGCATTTGGCTCCTAAGACCAGTTTCTGTGTTTAGGTTGGTCGGCTATTCGGGTCCAACCCTATCTTATATATTAGTCGTCTAATGTTTCTTAAATTCTCTACCTACCTATTTCCAAATCTATCTCTCAAAATAAATCACCAAAATGTCACCATTCATCAGACTATAAAAACAGAATGAGAACGATGGTTTCTGAACTGCTCATCTTTAACATGCTTGGTTTTGTTCGGAAATCTAATCTATTAATCCAAGTTTCATCTAAAAGTTCATCATAATAAATCACTTCCTCTCACCAGATTGTGTAAAAACAAACAAAAAAAGCACCTTTCCGACCCAGCTGTGACCTCCACATCCGTCCTCACATCCTATGCTCATCCAACAACATATTTTTTTCATTAAATTTGCAAACAGTTGTTGTTGTTGTGGCACCATCCTTGCCGGTGAATCTGTAAAACTGTCTGTAAAGTAGTGTTTGTTGTAGCTCCTCTGCTGCCTCTCGTTTCCTCGGGCGACACGCCGGTTGATTTGAGCTCGGCATAAACTCACAGAACGTCAATCCAAGCTCGTGTGTTTTGTTGTTGTGCGCTACCTGATGGGTGTGCGTGGGCTGCTGTTGTGTCGGCGTACAGGTCGCGTTCGGGGCTCGAATGAGAAACCTTCTTTTAAGCTCTCGAGGACCGACGGAGCCACGTAGGTGAAGCCCTGGTGGGAAATGATAAGTCTGTCACAGGTGGATAATGTCACCACGATACAGTACGGAGTTAAAACAGAGGACCTGAAACTAAACCGAGGTTTCATTTTGACTGTACTGTCTAGAGCCTAAATACTGCATGAAGCAAAGAGGAGCGTCTCACAGCGAAGGCCAGCTCTGCGCTGTGGCTGAGCGAGGTGTCGTCTGGACTGTCCACGGGCGTCTGTCTGGTGAACCGGGTGTCAAACTGGCTCACGTCCTCGTCCGACTGCTGCTCAGAGGCAAAAGATAAAAAGGTGACCGACTGAGAGGGATTTATTTTAAGAGTGCAACACAAACGCAACGAGAGGCTCGAGAAAATAAAGCAGGTGGAATTTAATAAAACATAATTAACTGTACCAGCCGAGAATAAAGAGAACATATTAATTTAACAAGCGATTTGATGGCATAACGGGCACCTACCAGCTGTGGCTTGTACGGCGGCTCCACTCTCTTGTTCAGCAGCTCGTCCCAGTTAATGTGCCTGAAGAACGGATGTTTCTGCAGAGGAATTAAAGCGCTAATTTATACGTTACTGTGAAAATACAGCCAAATTATTAATAAGTAGTGTACGATTTTTAAAAAATACAGTTAAATATTGTACAATCTGGTGCTTTTTAGAGCCAACAACAAGAATAGCCACAAAAAGAGATGACGTGAGAAGCAATTTTTATGTTTTTTTAAATACGAAGGTAAAAATAATTTTTCCTTGGTTTCAGAAATAACACACTAAATGTTTTCTGCCGTTTTTTAAAAATTGTTTTAGCCGTTTTTGTGGTATTTTGTGGCAATTTGCAGTCGTGTTAATTACAGGAAACTACAGTTAATGTTGATTAGAGGGGCAACGCTACATCCAGTTGTGAACTAAAGTTTACACACACTTGTGAAGACCAGGTACATCATCACAGTCTTGAGTTTCCGATGACTCCTACGTCACCAAAGCTGACAATTCAAGTTGCTGTATGTATATTTTTGATCCAACAGATTTCCAGAAGACCAATATTAAATCTATAAGAGAACGAGAATGTACAGCGGTCAGTGTCCACAGTGTTTCACATCAACGTGGGCTGAGAGGATGAAGAAGGAAGCTCTTCCTCTCCAAGACTCAGCTAAAGTTTGCTGCTGGTCACATTGAAGGCCTTCTGGAGGAAAGTTCTTCGGTCAGATGCAACAAAAATTGAGCTATTTGGCTGCAATGAGCAGAAATATCTTCAGAGGAGAAAAGGTGGGGTCTTTAGCCCCAAGAACACCACCATCAAGCATGGTGGTGGCAGTATTATGCTCCCTCTAAACTGGAGCTTCACACAAAGTAAATGGAATAATAAAGACAGAGGGTTACCTCTACATGCTCCAGGAAAACCTAAAATCATCAGCCAGAAGGTTGATCTTGGACACGGCTGGTGTTTAAACAAGACAATGAGTCCAAACACACATCAAAAGTGGTAAAGAAATGGTTCAATCAGGGCAGAATTCAGGTTTTAGATCGGTCTAGTCAAAGATACAACCAGAAGCTAGTGGATGGAAACCAGAAGAATTTGACTGAGGTGAAAGTGACCAAAGAACATTTTATATTGCTGTATGAATGTTTTTGACCCAGTAGATTTTGTCATATTTCCAGAAGACCTTTAATAAATCCATGAAAGAACCAAAATATGATGGAAACTCAAGACTGACATGAAATACAGCCTTAAAAAAAGACCCTTAATCTGCACTATTTCCTCATCTGGAAGCAGATCATCACATCCTATACTTGACAGGTAACACCTTGTTAGAGCTTCTCCACATCCACTGATAATGGAACAGCCTTCCAGCTGAGTTTGTAAATGGCCTCTTACATCTATACTTTATGACATCCAGTGGAGACATGATTAGGTGTTTTACACTTGGATTAGATACATGTTTTTGTAGCTTGTTGAATAATAAGGAGAGCAGGTGTGAAGCTCACACAGCCAGAGAAGGTGTGAAAACAGGCACTTACCTGGATATCAGCGCAGTCTGCTTTACTGGAGCCCAGTCTCTGGGCTGGATTCTTCTTCAGCAGCTGAAAACAGATAAAAGTGGTCACTATGGAGACAAATGATTACGTGCTGATGTGGGCACTGTTTTAAGCCTTGGTCACCACAATGAGCTCCTACGGCCTGTACATGTAAAATGGTTCGTACCACACAAGCCCGTCTGGCGAAATGTGGAGGCCGCAGACAGGCCGTAAGCACGTAGGGAGGATCTGTGACATGTCGAAAAGATTCTACGAGTTCTCTGCAAACAGTGATGTGTAAGTTGCTCCCCGGCCAGGAGTTTGCAAGTCAGACGTGCAAATTTAGAATAAAATCTGAAGAATAAATCTGCTTTCATAATACTGTTTCTAATGAGCAATGACATAAAAAAAACATAACATAATACAGATCAATTCTTTTATTAGATTCCAATTGTCATTTGAGACGGATGAATTTAACTCTGAGCAAGAAATCTTCACTTCAGTCGCAATTACAGACAAACTTTCCTCCTCTATTGCTGTCTATATTCTGAAGGTTTGAACATGTATCAGCCCTAGCCTGGTTTATAACTTTTTATAACTTAAAATAGAAGTTTTCCACCGCCAACAGGAATTTTTTTTATTATAAAGTGATAAAAATAGATATTGACAAAAATTTGGTTCTAAAATTTCTGCATGATAAAGCAGGAAATGTAAAGCTGACTCCATCCAGGAGTCACATGTCTGCTCTGGGATTTAATGCAAAAGATGTTTTTCTCCTTTGCACATTTAAATCTAAAATGTCAGAAAAGTTGTAATGCCAAAACAAAAATAACTGTCCAATGTGAGTAATCAACTCGTCAAGTTTCAGAGCAACATCCAGGAGTTAAACTTGTACCTGTGGATGATCCCATAACAAACCAAACATTGCCTCCATCCTGAGCCGATCACAATCACAATGCTTTTCTACCATTTCTGAGTCTCACATCTTTGCTTTCTGGTTTCTGATAACTGACCAGAAATGCATTTTGTGTAAACTTTTAATGGTGTTACGTGAGATTTGTCTCATTTTGAGATTCATTTTCTCGCCTGATTCTTTCTGCATCCAAACTATTTTCTCATACAGTCAAGCAAGGCTCATCCCTACTATTCTGTGTCATGGACAACAAACTGGTTTACTATTGAAATTATGATATACTGAATGCAAAAGGTGTTTTGCTGCAGTCTTTCATCGAGCTCGTGTTCCTGTCTCCTGTACTTAGGAAGCAGCAAAGACTCAAGTAAATTGACAAGCACAAAATTTCAACATATATGTGCTTTAAAGGTCTTTAACTCAAAAATATTCCTTGCGTGAAGGTAAAACTTTGCATAGCTTTATTAAATCTACTAAAGTTATTGTACATGCAAAATCAGCTGATTCTTAGGAGGTCAAATTTGGTTTATTTTATATAGAATGTCCCCTGTTGTGACCCTGAACAAAACAGTGTTCACAGTTTATGCAAATATGAGTCTAAAACCAGCTCAGCTAAAATAACTGACCGATCAGATTAGAAAATGTACATCTGAACACTTGGCTGATTTTCAGATGTAAATGGTTATTTACTATGCTTCAAACACCCAGAATGAGGAAATGCACCCCATCCAGAGCTCATTCATTTCAATCAGCTCCATGCAATGACTGTTTCCTACAGTACAGGTTAAAGTAGGTCAAACTGTGGTGACTCACCGCTGGCTCACATCGCACACCACAACTGAAAACACATTCGTATCCCAGCATTTGTCTTCCTTACGATGTTTTTGTGTTTTGCGGTCACAGAAAAAAACTGCTCATTTTTAGCTCCACAAACAGGAAACTCATTGATGGCAGTGGCGCAGGAGAAAACCGAACCGGTGCGGTTAAACCCAGAGCACAATGTGACGCTACATACAAACAACTACTATTTATAAAAGTTGAAAGGTAAGCTCATACCGCGGGCTGATCTGCACTCGATACAGCCATTATGAAAACACACAAAACCAAGAGACACAAAGAGAACAGATCAGAAATCTGGGCATGTTTAGAGCTATTTGGTCACTGTGTGTACCTTGGAGTGTTTCCTACGTTGATTGTATTTTGGCATAAAGGAGACATGGACTTCACAAAGATGTGTGAAGAGGAAGGGCAGCGAAGTCTTGGCTTCGTGCTGAGGAGACGGATCGCGAGCTTTTCTTGGCAGGAATGTGAGGCGAGAGGCAGCTGGCAGGAGGTGAGCCGCGGTAACCAACAATACACAGAGTCATTCTTAAGAATCGCTGATCTGATACCGAAGCCACAAAATAATTACTCCCAGACGCAGAAATCAGCCCACGAGCCCTGATACATTAAAAAAAAACACCCTGCACATGCCCAGAACTCTTCATGTTAGATGCAAGAAAGTCACCCACATCCAAGAGGGCAAACCTACACACACACACTTCCATTGAATTTTGTTTTTCTTTTGCAATCAATGAAATAAGATCATCTACTCTGAGCTGCCTGCAGGGGTTGAAACATCTTAGTTCCTGCCAATCATGTGAAACAAAAGAACAACAAATAATCTATATCGGCACAAGTACATCCTCGGCGTCACTATTACGAGATGTGATACAAAAAACTCTGTGCAAATAAAATGGATTTAAATTTGGCCACTAACCCTGTCAAACTAGTCTTCCTGTGTGGCAATACAGCGCTTCCATGTCATCACCCACATGGAGGTTGGATCATTCCAGGCCTGCTGACAGAGACCCGTGCAGACTTCAGTAAGGTCTACAGAATCTGGGTCAGCCAAAAACTTATTGGTCAGACAACTGTCGATGTTGCTCTCATAAGGAGGAAGGATTAATCCATTATTCTTGGCAGTGTTTGCACAACTTGTTTGCACAACTTTTAAGTCCTCTCCCAACTAACTGATGCCAAAGAAGTCGTTGGTGTGGCTGCATTTAGTTCAAAAAATGGAGCAGCCTGTGCACCACAACTCGACAACCAACATGCAAATCATCAAAAAACAGCAGCTAACTTGTCGGTTTTGTTTTTAAATTCCTGAATAGTTCTTGTGCTGCATCACCAGCTGCTCTGCTCCCAGAATGTTCTGATCATTTCAGCTGCAAATAACCAGCTTCAAATGATTTAATAAGCTGCAAATGCTAGATTTTAATGTTGATTTAGAATTAATTTAGGCTGATAAAGCTAGCAGGTAGAGTTGCTCAGTGCTGGTTTCTTTTTACCCTGCAACTGGTTCAGTTGGTTGAGGAGAAGGTACAGATTTTCTTTGGTTTTCTACAGCCCTAGGTGCATGACGGTGCTGCACTTCATTTACGCACAACTCGGACAGACTCTGGACTTTGTTGCTGGGACCTGGTGTGTGAACGAGTTACAGACCTTCTTGATGAGGTCCCTGGCGTCGATGGTCAGATACGGGGGTAGATTGAGTTTGCACTTCAAGATCTTATCGATGGTCTTCTTCCTGTTTTCGGCTGTGAACGGAGGCTGATGGAAAATCACAGGAAACAGTCGACAGTCAATAAAAGAAAATGAAAACTGCGAGCTTCTCCAATCGGTAAACAGAGACGTGAACCCGTCACAGTTTGGATGAACAGCATCACTTATACACAGTGCTGGGTGGTATACGATATATATAAATTAACATTCCGACTGAATTTCACAATAATATTAGGTTTGGATCCAGCACAATACACCCACAGGTTGCTGCTGTACATTCCTGCATCTGGAATAAGTGTAGCTGCACATAGAATGTGTTTTTTTTTTTTCAGTTGGAGAGTTTCTCAACTTTTTCTCTTTTTGACTTTCTTTCTCGTCAATAAATAAATGCTTACCCTCGGGGCACTTTTTGCCTCGACTGTTTCTCTTCCCTAATAAAACGCCTCGGCTGCAAACTGCCCCTCTGGGTGCTAACTCTACGGCATATTCATAAAGCAAAACTCTCAGAAATAACCCGAGGGCTCCGAAGAAACAGTTCGGAGATGCAGAGAGACTCAGGAGGTCAAGGCTCAACATCGCTGAGGCGGTCCTCACAGGTCGATCTTATTTCTAAACGTCTTCTATCGGCCTGAGCTTGAGGTGCACATCAAAAGAATGAGACGGCTGATACAAGCTGCTGCGTTAAGACCTCAGCATCCAGCCGACGCTTCTTCATAAAAACAAAAGTAAATTGGGGTGATCTGGGCTCCTGCTGTGACTGCTGCGAGGCAGGATGCAGGAGGGGGATCTGGAGCAAGTTATTATTCCCCCAAATACCACTTTTTTTTTTGGAATGGGTCCAATACTGACACTTTACCATCTGCACTATAATCCAACAGGACATTTGTACCCACTACTGCTTTACTGAGTATTTTGTTCAGCCATTATGCTGCCATGCTTTCATGTGTGCTAATGCCAGGTTGACAAAATAACAACTTCAGCATGTCCTTATCCAATAATCTTACAGTAACAGGGATCTTTCTGTTTTCCAGCTCTGGAAAGTTGCTTCACTCTTCCCAGAACAGCTTCCCCCAACTTTGACTTTTCTATCTTCCTGCACTTAGTGTCGTCACCAAAATCCTGACTTCGATACGATACCTTCCTAAATATATCAACACCAATCCTGACATGACATCCTGGCTAAAACCTAAAATGTCAGGAAAACAAAAAAACAAAAAGTGTTTTAAAGAGCTTCAATGCAGGGTTGTGGGAAATGTGAAAATAGCCATAAAACAACAGGAGCTGGTGGATTATTGCACCACAGTGTGTTCATACATGTTCATATCCATTTATTAGGATCAGCTCTTTCCATGTTCACGTTTCCACCTTCACACGTAACTCTGCTGCTTAGCAAAGGGTGAATCCTTGCAGAAATAAGTGCACCAGTACTTCAGCGCACATCTTAATCTCTTTCTTTCTTTCTGCAGGAATTTAGTTGATTATTTATAAGTGCTGTTGTTCATCTGCTGACTTTTAGTGGCTTGTAGGGTTAATGTTACCAGTGTGAAAAGGCTGTGTTTGCATTAGAGATGTTAAAGAGAAGATAAAGCCAAATGAAACAGACGTCAGTGCCCGTAACTGCCTGAAAAAGGTTTGCAAAAAAAACAAAAAAAACAAAAAATACGGCCAAATAGTTTCCTGGTTTCAAAACAGAGGATTTATAATCTATCAGAAGAACATTAAAAAAAAAACACTACAGCCCAACACCACCTCCTAACAGTCTCCTCCTCGTTATTAATTCTCTTTCACAGCTGTAGCTTACCGATCCAGTCATCATATCGTACATCAGCGCCCCGAGGCTCCACCAGTCGACTGCTCTGTTGTGACCTGACCTGGTCAGGATCTCTGGAGCCCTGACAGGAAAGAAGAAGCACGCAGAGAGCGAGGAGGTTACGAGAAGAGAAAAATAATGAGAGAGAAGCTTGTGTTTGTACTGCGAGACCAAGCAGACAACAGCAGCTTAAAAATGTCTAATAAAGCCATACAGGAAGTGTTTGGCGTTGTGTGTGTGTGTGTGGACTGTGTGTTAAAGCGTTACCCACATGTACTCAATGGTGCCACAGAAGGTGTGTGTGACGGTTCCATCGTGAATCGACTCCTTGCAGAGGCCAAAGTCAGTCAGCTTGATGTGTCCTTGAAAAAACAAGTCAAAAGACTACATTTAAGTGACAAATGAGAGGAAACAGCACCATCACAAAATGACGTTTGAACCTCGATGCAAATAAATCACATTGTATTGATTATACATATTCACATCCAGTGTGTGCTTAGAGACAACGCGGTGTGTTACCTTGATGATTGAGCATGATGTTTTCAGGTTTCAGGTCTCGATAAATAATCCCGTTGGAGTGGAGGTGACCAAGGGCCAACGTGATCTCTCCTAGATAAAAACTACGCACACACACAGAGTTGGTTTGAGTCCAGGATCCGAATCAAAATACCACAACGACGTTAAAGCCGTGCAAACTCAAGATCGCGTCTTATGTGCAAACCTTTCACCGAGGAGAGGAAATCCTTACCAGGCGGTGTCCTCCATGAAGATGCCTTCCTTCTCCAGCTGCATGAACAACTCCCCTCCTGGTGGTAAACAGTAAAGATGTGTTAGACGATGAATATTGCAAATGCGACAATGTTACAAACATGCTTTTCATCATATAAGCAGTACACCATTGAAAATGAGGACATATTTTAAAGGCAATATCTAATCAAAATAATTGCAATATGATTTGTTTTAGGGGGGATATCATTGAGCTATCGTGGAAATGCATGGCCAAAAGCAAAGCCCACATTGAAGCAGAAGCAAATCTGCTTTTTAAACATTTTAAACTTGGAAATTAACAAGTTTTTGGATCACTTTGACCTCAGGCAACGAAAGAGGGAGGCTGCATTTGCACAGCTGAACAGCAGTGGAAAACTGTGGTCATGTAAACAGGATTATTAGGGGAATATTCATTTTCATTAGAATTCAGAAAGGTAAAAAAATGAATATTCTGATCATGTAAATGTTCCTTCTATCCACTCCTGTCCCTTCACACAACATTAATCTAAATATAAAGGGGTCAGGTAAGGTGCCCCACAGCTGATTCACGCCATCCATCTGCCTCCACCTTACCGCTCAGACACTCCAGTATGAGGTAGAGTTTTCCTCCGGTCTGGAAGGCGTACAGCAGGTCCACGATGAACGGGTGTCTCACCGTCTCCAGGATCTCGCGCTCTGCTCGCGTATGGGCCGTGTCTTTGGCATTACACACGATCTTAGCCTACAGGAGGAAAGGGGAGGCAAGGAGTGGGAACAGTGCAATGACGAGGTGGAGGGGAATTAAACAACAGAGCAACAAGCAAAAGGACAAAACAGCACAGAGCCCACGTGTCAAAATACCTTCTTCAGGACCTTCATGGCAAATATTTTCCCAGTCTGGGCACCTTGAACCTTCCTGACCTGGAAAACCTAAGAGAGAGAGAGAGAAAGGCAATGGTATGATATAAAAAGGTTCAGAGAGTGTTGCACGTGCTCGGAGCGTGTTTGCGGTCGAAGTGTGCAGCAGTAACTGTCATGAGTCACTATCAACATCTGGATCTGAGTTGTCTGCATGTTTGTGTGACCACTGGTAGGTGCACATTTGTTATTTCTCCATGGAGCTCAGACTTTCTCAGACAGCAAACATCACATTGTGTGTCAGTCAGCAGCTGGATGATCCATCACGGGGACCAGAAGTGGGTCTGCGGCGAGCACCACGAGACCAAACAGCAGGCTGCGGTTTCCAGCATCAGGTCAGGACTGTGCACCGTAAACTTGTTCACGAGAGTCTACAGTCCTACTATAACTTCCTGAGACATGTCAGGGAGGATGTTTGGTGCCAATGACCTGAACTGTGGTGCGATGGCGTGTGTGTGCTCCTGTCGAGGCGTGCAGTTGTAAATAAACAACAAAATCCTCTCTCTGCACCTGCCCTGCTCACTAGATTTGGTGACTTCTTCCTCTTCCCCAAAATGGAATTCAAGTTGAAGGGTGATCATTTTTACACAGATTAGGAGATTCACTTCATTGCAGATGGTGTTTTGAAGTGTTTGCGTAACGTTACTTCCAGGGAACATTACAGTGCTGCAGAAGCATTGGCAGCGCTGTATCGCTGGACAAGAACACTAAGTCCAAAAGTCCCATTTTTGATTTATATAAGCTCAGTCTCTGAACTTTTTACCTTGTGTTAAACAAAAACATAAAGCAACAGCTGGTTCCAGCTCCTAAAATGTGATGATTGAAACATTCTTTGTTTTATGTCACTGCCTCTTGATGACTGTTACTGCTGGCACTAAATGGAAAATAACGCGTCGAACTCAACTGACAAGTTTTTTTTTTGCACAGATTAAGTTTTGGCACCATCAGAAGAGGTTTTAGCCAGCACCGAAGGAGACTCACCAGGGCCAAAATAAAAAAAACTGCATTGGGAACTGAGAATTCACTCACGTAAGGATCACACATATTATATTTCAAAAATAACAAGAAAATGCACATGTTTCTGTACTTTCTTTACTGTACATAGACCCATCACACTTCCTTTGTGAAAAAGAGGGATTGTGCAAATTTCAAAAGGTGCTGAACACATGTATGTATCCACCAGAGCGCATGCCTTAGTGCTCAGTAACACACCTTGCCATAGGCTCCTTTTCCCAGCACAGTTAGCAGCTCGAAGCAGTCGGGTCCGACCCGCTCGCTGTCCCTGTTGACACTCTCACTGGTCAACTCCACCTCCTCGGTCTGAACACTGGGATGGGAATCAAGCAGGAGAGCAACAGTGTCACGATAAGGTATTTTTTGTGTTACAATCAGCATCGATTTTGTATTAATTTGAAAGTGAATTCAACGTACTTCTCAGGTTCTGCCACAGTGAAGTCACAGACATCGTCCTACGGACAGAAAGCAAAGGGCCAAAGAGGTTAGACACAGTTCACCACGTACATCACAGGGACGCATCACGTGACCAAAACGCGTCTAAACCAGAAATAAACTGAAAGTAAGTATTGTCTTCGAGGGGTTGACTGATGCATTTGCCTGGTTCTTATTAGTGTTAATCAAGGAGGCTGATAATGATATCTGGAACTGGAAATACACGGCCGGTACGTGACAACAGTTAAAGAGAGACGGCTGCATCGGAGCCAAGACAGCACACTTTTAATAATTCAGTTGCTGTTTTCTCCGTAAGGCATTAACTGATCAGTTATATCAATAACCACAGGATACAGACCTCTGCGTCACTGATGTCCTCAGTCTCCAAGTCGATGTCGAACACTCCTGCCATCCTGAAACGGAAACCGCACAGTCAAACGGAGTTGATGTCCAGCTACGGAAAATACTGAAGCAGCTGAGCAACAGGTAAAGAATACACCTGTAACTATCTGTACTGACAGAGAGAACAGGCATCACAGGAACAGTGCACCAGGTCGGTTGTGAATAATGGGCTGGGTGATCCGACAACAGAAAACTGCTGATCACATCCGATTAAGTCTGACGGCTTTATATGAATATTAGGTTTACAAGAATTTTGGTAATTGGAAAAACAACAACACAGCAATTCCAATGTGTTCCATCATAACAGCTTTTAAATTTAATTTCCTGAAAACTACATCACGACTAATATCCTGATTTAAACCGGAAGGACACACGGAGGAGCTCTCTGCCAGGGTCAATGTCCTGTTTCACAGTTTTAAAGATATTTGCACCTAATTCATCAATCAACCTTCACATTGAGGTAGAAGCCTTATTTACAATAAAGTCAGGCAAAGACACGAATAAATAAAAGATGCTATTTTAATAAAATGAGAGGAAATTAGTAATAAAACTGTTTAGAAGGCAAATCAGCAAAATAATGAAACCATCAACCAATCAGGACTTAAAACAAGAAGAACTAACCCAAACAGGAACAGCTGAAGGTAAGATCAAATTAAATTACAGACCTGAATTGCCCAAAGGATAAAAATTAGTCCAGCCATGCAGGTTATTTAAGGCTGCATGTGCAATGTAAGTGAAACAGGATTTTCAGAGCTCAGTGGAAACAGGCTGCACCTGCAACATAATCCCATCGTCTGAGCATGTTCGGTAAGGGCTCGGATTAAAACACAGCTGCAATGTAACGGAAGGAGGCAAAAAGAAAAAAAAAAAACCCTGTGAGGGCCTTAAAAATAAATGAAACCCAGAGTTTATCTCACCTTACAGAGAGGGAAGGCCGACCTATTCCCCCATCGTTCTACTGCGGTGCAAACTCCTGAAACCTTCACAAAGTCCTGCTAAAGTCCTTTGAACGCTACTGCCGTTAAAATCCAGTGATTCAATCAATGCTGATGCGTAAACACACAATGTGCCAAACCCATGCAGTGACAATGGGTTTGGCATTTCGTAACAATGCCTCACAGCTTCCAGCCCAAAAGTTGAGAGAAACCTGAAACACTGAGCGACAGGATTTCTTTGTCTTGTGCCAGTTATTGTTGGTAAACTGTGTTCTGTGTTTAACCTCTTGAACCCCAAAAACCAGTCAGCAGGTTTGAAAGGCACGTTATCTGTATAATAAAACAAAGGGAGCCAAAATTACACTATTTACCGGAGTCATTAACTGTGAAAGTAGAAAGAATGCAGGAAAATTAACAGAATCTAAGCTTGTAATTGCAATATTTCACGAAAATAAACTGAGTCTACAAGTCTTATACAAATATTGGTCACTTTCACATTTATTAAATTCAAACTAAAAAAAGAAAAACATAAAAACAAGAGCTTTTCACTGTATTTTTTTCCATTCAGACAACAACAGACAACCTTTACTAATGGTCTCAGTAGTTTCAGGTTTTAACTGTTCCAGGTTTGAGGGGAAAAAAAAAAACATCTCAGTTGTATTTTCACATCCAAACCACATTGGACCAGATCTAGATCACAAAACACTACGTGTTGATGTCAGATGTGGACCGAATCAATGCTTTAAACACCTTCTCAGATTATGAAAATGCATGAAACAGCAGTATCGCCATGTGGACCACAACAAACCAGACGATGGTGAATAAAATGCTACTGTTAGATATTTCAAATGTGGACTTGATGATCCATGAGAGGAAAAATACTGTTTATGAAAACACACAAATTGCCAAGTTTACCATTTGAACCACAAAACACCAAGTCTGGATTTAAAAAAAACAACTATTGGATATGTCAAATCTAAACTAGATCAAGCAGGAGAAGTTTTACTTTTACATATTTGAGGATTATGAAAATACACAAATAGTAATTTCCCTATTTTGACCAACAGAGACCAGGTTTAATATAAAACAAACACCTGTAGACGTGTCAAATCTGGACTAGATTAACTGGGACAAGCTGTTTAAAACACAATTTTAGATTGTGAAAACATACAAAACAGCTTTTTCAACCATCTGGACCACAACAGACCAGGTTTAGATTTAAAAACACTAAACAGTACTCTTAGATATGTCAAATAGATAAACGAGAAGCACATTGAAAAACACAGAAAAAGCTCCATCTGGACCAAAACACACCAGATCTGGATCAAATAAAAGCTATCGTTTTCACATTTGGTCCATCAGTGAGAGAGGAGGGTAACTTCAGCATCACATTCCTCTGCTGTAGCTGGTTAAGTGATGAAAAGTGCAGCGTTTAATGATAAATATGTGGGAAACCCTCAAAACATTCAGCCTGGCCAAAGCCTTACATTAGCCTAGCTCCCACTTGGTAAAACGCAGCACAGCTACACTTCTGAGGCTACAGACCAAAACAACCCGTCTCTGAGCTCCTGTCAGAAGTTACGGCTTCAGGTTTTAGATATTAAGTCCTTATTTCGTGATACTACATTCACAAAGCGTCAAAGGCTGCCAGGGAGCTAGCTTAGCTTCTTACGTTAGCATGCTACTTAGCTAAGTCAGATGGCAACCAAAACAACATGCCAGTAAACATGACAGCAAATGCCGTGGCTCCACTGAGCTAATGTATGTCCACGGTTAATCTTTAACTTATCAAGGGGCCACTTCTTGCTGAAAACTGGCTGTAAATAGCTGACGGTGCAACATGTTGGCTAACGTCCCGCTGACAGCTGGTTTGACAGGTAGCGAGCACAACGAAAACATGCTAATGCTAAGTAGCTAGCTCACCTGTGATCGCTCCTTCATCCGGCAGTTCCTGTTGTTATTCTCAGTCTGGTTGCTTTAAAAGGGGTTTGTACACAACCGGCTCAGGCTGTCATCACTACAGGTTCGCTAACGAAGCAGCAGCAACCACACAGAGAAGCGTCCGGGCTCGGTTCATGCTCCTGTAGACGGCATGAAGCTCCGAGCTGCTGGTTAACCTTTAACCTGCTGCGTCATCAGCGAGGCAGGCCGGAAAACAACAACAACAACAAACAAACACACACATAAGCAAACAAACAAACAAACAAACAAACAAACAGGTGGTTAAAAGAAGGATTCGTCTGATCGCGATACTATAGATCAATATCAATATTAACAATAAAAATAATGCTAATTATTATTATTAATGTGTTCCATCTTATTATGTTAGTATATATATATGAATTATGATAATCAATAATTATTATTATTAGTAGTAGTAGCAATGTGTCCCTCCATCTCATTATGCAAGTAGACAGATTCATAATAATTTTATAAATAACAATAATAAGGGGAGGCTGTGGAAACAGAAAAACATCTGCAGAGTCTTAGATGCCAAATCTGAGCATTAGATTAAAATAAAATGTAGTGAATTAAGAAAGTTTTCAGATCCACTTTATTTTTTAAACAATTTATTGCATTGTAGATTTAATCCTAATATGCTAAAACTGCAGATTTATGCTTAAGAAGGTACGATAAATGACAGAGAGAACAGACATTTTCATTTACAAAGGGATTCAGACACTTTCCAGTGATTTAAATTATCCTTCTGATTTTTTTTGTTTTTGGAACTTGACTGGGTTCATCTGTGAGAAGTTCAGTCAGATGTAAGCAAGACAAGGCGACACCTGTTTATAGAAACAGCTCACACTGCATGTGAGGACACAAACTGAGCCACGAAGATCAAGAACTCTGTGCAGACGTCTGCGACCAAACTGTGTTGAACCTCAGTAACTGTAAAATGGCAGAAGTTTGGAGCAGTCAGGATTCTTCAAAGACCAAACTAAGTAACTAAGCGGGAAGGACCTCAGTCTGGGAGGAGATCAAGAAGCCAACAGTCCCTCTGACAGACCCTTAGAGATGAAGAAGCTGCTGGAAGGACGAACATCTGGGCGGATCTTCATCGATCAGGACTTTATGGACGAGCAGCTGGAAAAAGATGCTCTGAGTAAAAGACGCTTAAAAACACATCGCAAATCTGCATCAGAAGTTGATTTAGTTTCAGATTAGTCCTATTATATCTGGTTAAAGCTGATGTCCATTTGTTCTATTCTAGGTTTTGTCACTATGACTGGATGCTGCTGCTCCACTGTGTTCGTCTCTGCCGGTTTGAAATGCAGAGGTTCACGCTGAGGACGCCTGTTATTGTCTTCAGGAGTCCTGAGCAGATGTTGAGTCTGGTTGAGTTTTTACTTTGTAAGCTGTGATGACACAACAGTGAGTATTACTTTAATACTAATGACGGCAGCGTATTTTTGGGGTTTCAGCTGATGCCTCATTATTCAGTGAGTGCGATGAACAGACCTGGAGATGTGCTGCTGCATCGCTGATGTGAACTCACTTTTGATTGTTGAGAGAGGAGCCAAGCTTCAGGGTGAGTGTATATACGGACTTTATTGTGGCGCATTGTAAGAAAATCCTGTTACAGGATGTTCAGACTCCCAGTTTTACTTTGACACAAGTTATTCAGACAAGTTTACACGGCAATCACAACCCCAGCAGTATTATATAATGCGATTAAGCCTGGAAGGCAGGCCTCGTTCTTTCTACAATTTGTCATGCTCAATTGCTTGTAGGAATTATAATGGCCTTCCCTTAAAGGTGTAGATTTCCCTGCATGTTTCTCTATCATACGGCAGAGCTGTACTCTGTACCACCCACGCAACCTCCTTCTGCAGGGCTGGCAATGATAGTCGCCATCTGGCTAGTAGGAATCCTTGGGCTTCGTCCAGCTCACTCTTCTTTTGATGTGTGTTTTATGTGCAGACACACGGATGGCAAAGATCCCAAATTGCTACAAAGACCACAACAACAAATTAAAAGTCACCACAGACACATAATTGCTACCAGGCTCATCATCAGATCCTCAAAGAGCAGAATGGAAGCTCAGTCGATGTCGGATACGCCACAAGTCTCTGGCTACCGCGCTGAAAGATAAACAGAGCGGCTGCTGTCTGGAAATATGTGATTATATGCAGATACATGACAGTGTGATTTCATTAAATGCAGTTTTTATAGTCAGCCTAAACAAATTATTCAGCCTCAGCTCCACTTTGCCTCTCTGCGTGTCTTCAGTTGCAGCTCCCGAGTTTTCTCGGTTTCCCTCTCACCACTGCTGCTGTGTGGTCGTGGATTCGGGGCTGCTGATTATAGTGTTGGCTGTGTGCATCGCCCGCTGGACAGCGACAGACAAGAAGAAGAAGAGAAAGAAGAGGAAGACTGACTGCTAAAATTACCCACAAAGACCAGACCACTTTCAGCAGCACATCAACAACGCCTCCAACAGAAGCCAGTGGAACAGCCAGCGCGTTACAACCACAGCGGTGTCCATTAAAAAACAAAAAATAAAAAAAATACCTCACGTGTGTGTCCGTGCTTGCATTTTGTATCTTGAGTTGTTGCAAAGTTTTTTTTCTTTGGTGCAGTCTTCTGTACAGGCTACTTTGCTTCATGCGCTTTAATTTAAATCACCTGAACTGAACCCTGCAGCTGTCTCCTGAATATAATATTGCACATAAAGCTAAAGCTTGGCTTACAACCTGCATGACCTTCTGTGCTAATAAATTCAGCACTACAGGCTTTGCAAAACGGCTCATGCAAATGTATACATTTGCATTTTAGTGACTAAAATATAAAACAAAATAAAACATTTAGTTGTTTTTGCCATCATTCATTGACTAACTAACATTTTCTGTGCCGTAAAAGAAAACAGTTTCTTAATATTAACACTGGTTAACTTGAATTAATTTTCAACATAATTATCTGTTTAAATATTTTCAGTATGACACTGATAAATGATCTTATGAATCTGAAGTCTGGAGATCAGTACATTCCTCAACAATCTGGAAATCTTGGAAATAAATAGAAGTTCAGCAAACACTGCAAACACTGGTTGGAAATAAAATCATGTGATATTGATAACACGGACTGGGATGATGCGTTTATGTTCGTTTTTTTCTATTGTATAATATATTTGCTCATTTGTTTATTTCCCGAGATGCCTTCGGGGCCCGACACACCGCTGGCTACAAGCTAAATGAGGGTCTTATGCATTGGAAGCAGACATTAGACGGCACCGAGGCCAAAAAGACTACCGCCCGAACAGGGACTTGAACCCTGGACCCTCAGATTAAAAGTCTGATGCTCTACCGACTGAGCTATCCGGGCTCTGAAGACTGAGCTACAGCTACTGTAGATATGATTATATCAGTACTGTACAGTATCGTGTTAGCTGTACCTTAGCTTACTTTTCCGGCTACAGAGATGAATACACCTGACCCGTAGCGCGCCCCCTGAGGCCGGACACTGTTCACGGTGCGTTAATGTGTCATAATAAATTCATAACATTTTCATCTAAGTCCGTATATCCCTTGTGGGAAAACACTTAAAACTTCTTCGGTTGTGAAACCAAGAATACGACATAAAAATGACAGTAAGCTACACAACAGAACTTACCTAGCTAGCTAGCTGAGCCAGTTAGCTACCTGTTAAGTCGAATGTTATTGGCTAATGTGCTAGCTGCCGTTAGCGTTAGCTTAGCAGCGCTGAAGTTAGCCTCCGATTCACAGCTTCTGATTCAGCTCAGGGAAACCTGACTTAGACTTTGATTTGTCCAGTCCTTTATAATGTAAAACCTTAATAGGCTTTTAGATAAATCCTTAATGGTGTCTGAAAACCACTTAGAAACCCGATTTAACATCTTAACCACAACAGATCAAGTGTAGGTCAAAACCACAATATATATGTATATATGTGTACATCTGTACACATTTTTATTTAATCTTTTTTTGTTGTTTTTTTTGCCTGAAATGTGGAAAAAAATAACACTATATATAATCAGAAGGATAAAGAAAATAATCTATATAAACGGGTCAAATTTGGACTGGATTAGACAGAAAGGCAGAAGATTAATTAAAATACAGATTCTAATTAATTAAATTAGTTTCTATGTGTAAACATGGCAGCTTGAACAGCTTATTTTTTTTCCTGATCTGGACCACATTATAGTAGATCAAGATGTAAAATCAAGTCAAGTCAGAGTCAAACGGGTCAAACATAGACTACATTGTCACAGACAGACTGGAGAATCTTTAAAACACAATTGCTGATTTGTGAAACCTTTTTTCTGTTTGTGTGAAGGCAGCAAGAGAGAGATTTCACTGTCTTTTTTTTATTCTCTTCTTTAACCTTCCAGGGACAATCTAGTCCAGATTTAATCAGTTTATATGATGTGATTGTATATCTAAACCTGGTTTTAATGGAGTCCAGATGAGGTTTTTTGTTTTGTGTTTTTACAAATAAAATAAATATATAACAAATTAGACACTGTGATTTAAAGAATCACCGGCCTCGCTGCCATAATCTAGTCCAGATTTGACCTGTTTATACACAGCGGCTTTGGATCTGGACCCAGTCTAATGGGTTGCAAACGTTTAAAAAAAAAACAAAAAAAAAACAGAGATGTATTTATTTATTGTTTACAATTTGGAATAAGGGGTTGATGAATTACAAACTCTGGTTTCAATCATTTTCAAACTCTCTGGGTCATTCCAGTTCAGAGTTGACCAATTTTTATGAGGTGGTTTTAAATGTGAACCTGGTCGTAGTTCAGTCCTCTTACTGTGCGCAAGCCTAACAACATATGTACGTTTTTGTAATGTTACACAAGGTTTACGACAGTATCAAAAAGATTTTCTACCCTGCCAACCAATACCGGCGTCACTAACGAAAAATGATTCGCAGGCCCCAGCGAGATTTGAACTCGCGACCCCTGGTTTACAAGACCAGTGCTCTAACCCCTGAGCTATGGAGCCTGTGATGAAGGCGTATGACGTCACAATCACCTAAATATTTTCCATTCGGATGGACGACGTATGGAATATTCTATCCATTGTTTAGTGATTTAAGTTCGTTTTTTCATTATGTTTTGCAATTATTTGAGAAACAAGTAAACT